AACAATTTAACCAACTTTTCCACTATTTATCATGTTAAATTTTTCACAAAAATACTATAAATTACTAAAGCAAGACACCAGCATTCACCCCCAACTCCTTCCCTCTTCCCATTTCCTCCTGCCTCAGGAAACACATTTCTTTAATACTGAAGAGCCCTTGTACTTCAGAAAGAAACCCAGGATTTGCTCTATATTCCAGGAGATGAAGCCTCACTCCACCCCACAAGCTTTCTTACCTCCTGGGTGGAGTCCTTGTCTGACGTTCCTTCCTTCTTGCCTCTCGGTTATCCCCCGGTTTGGCTGGCTCAGGTGCAGCTGCTGTAATTTTGGTCAGTGGCTGAGGGACTGGAAGGGCAGCCAGTTTCTTCACAGATTTTTCACTACCAAAAAGAATTTAAAATCAATCAAAAATGTCATGTCTGTGACCAAAGTCAGCAGACACAGAACACACATTCTCAAAAGCAATGAAATGCATCCAATGTTTGTTGTTGACTAAGTATTACAAACGTGTAACTGCTGGAGCTACAGACACTTGGCTATTACATCAAAATCCTGTCAAGCAACACACTCCCTGAAAGGGATCTGCTTCAAGTCAGCTTTTCAGAGACAAATTACAACAGTCAGTTTTGGAGACATTCAACTTGTAAATTAACTAAGGAAGCAGACTAGGGAATCACTGGGTCTGATCCCTTCAGTCCAGGGTGTTTTTATCCAAAACACACACACCTACTTCAGATTTGCCAGCCAGGCTCAAATGCTCACAGCTCCTGCAAAAATGCTCTTTTTCACTCCATGGCATGGATCAGCAGGGTGTTAAAGAGCCCATGTGTGTAGAAGTCTCTGGGTTCACATCACCCTGTGGAACATTTAAAGGGTGAGGCCACCGCACGGGACAGCAGAGTGAGGTGCTGGTGACTGCATCCAGCACCCACAGTGCCAGACAGGAATAGAGATTGTTAATTTCTCCTCTTCTGATGAAGAATACCTGCCCTCATCCCCTGCAGAACACGGGATTAATTGTGTGCAAAGTCACACTGCAAGAACAATCCCTGTGCTAGTGAGGCTGCTGGCGTGTGTCACCAAACCAGCCCTGCAATGTGCACTGGGAGGGTGTAAAGTCATGGCTGCAGGGGAGTGTGTCCTCAAAGGGCTGAACCCTCTCAGCTGAGGAGAAAAAAAACCAACCAAACAGGTCAATAAGGTACAAGAAGTGTGGCAAAGGGGATCATTCTGTATTCTGGAGAACTCAGGGGGATTCCCATGAGGTAATTTCTTTGCAGGTCACCTTAAAAGAGGTGACATCACTACAGTGTTGTGTCATCCTCCGACGTATCCATCATTTACTGCTTATTACAGGAGTTTGTGTAATAGCAATTTCAAGCATTTAAAAGAGGAGTGTTGGCATGATCTGTGGAACCAACAGTCTCACAGCTGTAGCACTGTTTGAACTTGGCACCAATATTCAAAGTAGATGGGGCTGAACCATTTCTCTATTCTAAGGCTGTTCTCTACTGTCCTAGTAGAGGAATGGATGAAACTTTCCTACAGCTCCTGCAGAAACACCTGCACATGCAGAACATGTAAAGTGTAAATCATGCATGTGTTTAAAAAAACTCATGTACACATGATGGGGACCTTGACATGGCACTTAGGGACATGGTTTAGTGGTGGACTTGGCAGTGTTAGGTTAAGAGTTGGACTCAACCTTAAGGGTCTTTTCTAACCTAAATGACTCCATGTTAATACTTACAGATACCTGTGCAGTTTAGCTTGGATTTAATAAGTGAAAGTGTCATCATGTAATTAAATATGCAAAGCCACACGTGGGTCATGTTTTGCATCTTCCATTTCTTCCTTAAACTGTTAACCAGGTCAGAAGGGTCTGACTGAGGGGTTAGGCTACTGTTTGGAGACTTTTCTGCACCGTGTTATCACAAGGGAGAGGAAACCTTACCCTTTACCAGCAGGTGGTAACAACTCCCCTTTGGCCTTGGCAAGCGGCTTGTGTGGAGACGGGGTTGGAGAAGGAGAAGGTGAAGATGAGAAGGATCGTGACCTAAAAAGGAAGGACACATCCCTCAGCTCAGCCTCTGGCACTGCAGGAGTGGCTTCCCATGCATTTAGCCATTGCTCCTGCCTGCAGCCAGTGACCACATCCCAGGAACTAGTTCCTGTGGGTCTGAGTTGATCCTAGTTTTTATGTTTGGACTCTGCTCAACAAAAGCAACTTCTGTGAGCAGAGCAGTGGCAGGCACAGAAACCAGGAAGAAGTAGGGCTGGCTGCAAGAGAGGCACACTCCTGGGTACTCCACACCAACATCCAATGCTTCCCCCACGCTCACTGCATTTTCTCCTTAGGGAGAGAATTCCTTCCTACAGGAAAGTAAGTGGAATTTTGGCTTACAAGTTCAGCACGATTTGTTTCAAGCTGCTCTAGGTAACTCCTAGTGCAGTCCACAAGCCTATAAACAGCAGCAGCAAAGCAAAAAATAAACCTTGGGAAAAAGACACCAAAAACAATCTAACTGGGTATCTGTAATTTCTGGAACACAAGGAGAAAAATCATGTGGAGTATATCAAAGCCAAGAGATCAAAGGGCTGAAGCTGTTTCTCAAGATCAGGAGTGACCAAAGAGACAAGGCTCTTGCCCAGCACGCCAGATGCTGGTATTCAAGTGATTCACCCACTGCCAAGACTGGAAGTACCCTTCTTGCAGGCTCATACTTCAGAGCCAGACACCATGGTGACTGGCTTGGGAAGGACATTTAGGCACCTGGGTGTTCCTCACTCTCCCACCTTCACAGAGAGGCATGCTAACCACTGTGTGTCACCCATGCCTGGCACTGTCCTGCCAGGAACAGAGCCTGAAATGGGGTGGGGGGAGGTCAGCCTGCTCCCCAGACACAACCATGCTGGCATTGAGATCAGCTCCCACCTGAGCCTTTCCCAGGAGAAACCACATCTCCCAAAGTGACACTGTGCACTCCCATCAACTGTGTGATCCACTCTGGGGACCTGTGAGTTCTCAGCTCTGAAGAGGTGTCTATCCAGGGAGCCAGTTCTCCTGCTATGCATATTCCAGACTTGGGAAACTGTCTGCAGGGGCAAGGAAGTGGCAGAGCAATAAACATGCCTCTGTTTAATCAGCATGGGACACTGAATTGCTGCTTTGAAGAGTCAGAACTATCACGAGGCACAACTGCATGTGCTGCTTTAATAAAGAAAAGTGATTTGCCTCTTAAAATAGAAAATCCAGTGCAACAGAAAGGAGATGCCAGTAACTTCTTCCAATCACAAAAGGCAAATAATAGCAATGTTGACCTCAGCTAGGCTCCTACAACTGCACAGCAACCACAGGCATGGGAAACAGCCCAGCCCCACCAGGACCATACTGGTGGGTGGGGGGTACTGGGGAGAGAAGGGGGTGGCTGACAGATCTGCTTCATTCCACCACCAAACCCTCAGGCTGCCTTGCAGGCTGCTGTACTTCCCTCACTCAGGAAAGTGCTTTGGATGCTTTATTTCAAGAGTTAGCCATTTGCCTGTAAGCAGCAGCAAAAGCAGCTGCTGGCAAGTGGTTGGAAAGCAGTTTATCCCATTACTTTGAAACCCAAGGAGCTGTTACCTGGACCTGCTGCCTGAGAAAGAGCTGTGTCTTGAGGAGCGACTAGAGTAAGAGCTGTAAGAAGATGATCTGGAACGAGACCGCGAGGAACCTGACCCAGAGTAGCTGGATGAACGAGAAGAGGACCTGAAAGAAAAATATTCAAATTCAGCACCTCTCGAGAAGTCCTCTGAGACCAAGGTCTTGTTTCCAGTACACTCTTCCCAAGTTCTCAAACACTGCTCAATAAATTACCTGCCCGCTCTTTGATGGGCTGCCAGGACTATATCCCTTCCTCAGTCCTCAACCCCACCATCTCTTTTAGAAAATATCCTGCTGTTGCTACCCACTTTGTGCCCATGAATAGACCCGCCCCCCCCTCCTTTAGCTAGTGGACTTTCCAGCCCTTTTTGGGAATTCCTTCCATGCAACTTTACCCCTTTTCACCAGACAATCCCTGATAGGTTGGGTCACAAGGGAGAAAACAGAAAAATCTCAGGTGCAGTGATCCCAGCAAGAAAAGCTATCTGCTTCAGGAGGGCTTTGGCTTTTAGATCCGTATCTTCAATTCAGTGTGTTCCTCATTCCACTCTGATACTTTTCCCCCCTCTTCTCAGGAGCTTCAAGTTCAACCATTTAAAGAAAACTGATCTGGCTTATGCCTCAACTCTCCAAGATTCAGGGCTCTTCTTTCTGGAAAGTGTTTTTTATTTAATTGAATCACAGAATCATTAAGGTTGGAAGGGATCTTAAAGATCAAGTTCCCCCCCCCCTGCCACAAGCAGGGACCCCGACCACTAGATCAGGTTGCACAAAACCTCATCCAACCTGGCCTTAAAAACCTCCAGGGATGGGGCATCAACAACCTCCCTGGGCAGCCCATTCCAGTTCCTCACCACCCTTAGAGTGAAGAATTTCTTCCTAATATCTGACCTAAATCTCCCCTCTCTCAGTTTAAAACCACTTAAAACCCTTGTCCTATCACTACCTTCTCTGCTGAAAAGCCCCTCCCCAGCTTTCCTGTAGGTCCGTTTCGAAACAGCCCAGCCCCACCAGGACCATACTGGTGGGTGGGGGGTACTGGGGAGAGAAGGGGGTGGCTGACAGATCTGCTTCATTCCACCACCAAACCCTCAGGCTGCCTTGCAGGCTGCTGTACTTCCCTCACTCAGGAAAGTGCTTTGGATGCTTTATTTCAAGAGTTAGCCATTTGCCTGTAAGCAGCAGCAAAAGCAGCTGCTGGCAAGTGGTTGGAAAGCAGTTTATCCCATTACTTTGAAACCCAAGGAGCTGTTACCTGGACCTGCTGCCTGAGAAAGAGCTGTGTCTTGAGGAGCGACTAGAGTAAGAGCTGTAAGAAGATGATCTGGAACGAGACCGCGAGGAACCTGACCCAGAGTAGCTGGATGAACGAGAAGAGGACCTGAAAGAAAAATATTCAAATTCAGCACCTCTCGAGAAGTCCTCTGAGACCAAGGTCTTGTTTCCAGTACACTCTTCCCAAGTTCTCAAACACTGCTCAATAAATTACCTGCCCGCTCTTTGATGGGCTGCCAGGACTATATCCCTTCCTCAGTCCTCAACCCCACCATCTCTTTTAGAAAATATCCTGCTGTTGCTACCCACTTTGTGCCCATGAATAGACCCGCCCCCCCCCTCCTTTAGCTAGTGGACTTTCCAGCCCTTTTTGGGAATTCCTTCCATGCAACTTTACCCCTTTTCACCAGACAATCCCTGATAGGTTGGGTCACAAGGGAGAAAACAGAAAAATCTCAGGTGCAGTGATCCCAGCAAGAAAAGCTATCTGCTTCAGGAGGGCTTTGGCTTTTAGATCCGTATCTTCAATTCAGTGTGTTCCTCATTCCACTCTGATACTTTTCCCCCCTCTTCTCAGGAGCTTCAAGTTCAACCATTTAAAGAAAACTGATCTGGCTTATGCCTCAACTCTCCAAGATTCAGGGCTCTTCTTTCTGGAAAGTGTTTTTTATTTAATTGAATCACAGAATCATTAAGGTTGGAAGGGATCTTAAAGATCAAGTTCCACCCCCCCTGCCACAAGCAGGGACCCCGACCACTAGATCAGGTTGCACAAAACCTCATCCAACCTGGCCTTAAAAACCTCCAGGGATGGGGCATCAACAACCTCCCTGGGCAGCCCATTCCAGTTCCTCACCACCCTTAGAGTGAAGAATTTCTTCCTAATATCTGACCTAAATCTCCCCTCTCTCAGTTTAAAACCACTTAAAACCCTTGTCCTATCACTACCTTCTCTGCTGAAAAGCCCCTCCCCAGCTTTCCTGTAGGTCCGTTTCAAGAACTGGAACAGCCATTGGTCTCCAGGCTCGACAACCCCAGTTTTCCCCCACAGCATCACCATGCTCTTCCTGGAATGGGCCCATCTCATCCCTCCAGCACCTCTGGAGTGAAGAGGCTTCAATTTTCAGATTTTACAGCTCTTCCTGCTCCTGTTAAGGTCAGTTTTCATTTAAATGAGCTACTCATCATCTAGACTGCTTCCAAGTCTAGTCCTCTGAAGAGTGGTTTATCCAGGGACCTGTCTTTCCTTACCCCATAACAGATCACATCCACATTCATGTGCCCCCTTTAGCTCCCATCTCACCACCTACACGCGTCCAAAGCTGTTACTAAGCAGCAAAGCCTTGAACTGCTTTCCCAAACATCTCAACCCCCTTCCATGGCCAAGAAGAATCCCACAGCGTTCCCAGCAAGGCTCGGATGCGATGTGCTCTTTGCCTTCCCTCACCTGGAAGAGCCAGAAGCAGATGCTGAAGAAGCAGAGGTTTTTCGGCGCCTCCGCGCGCGGCTGGGAGAGACAGAGACCCCCAGCTTCTTTTTGGGGGACTTGGATCGGCGCCAAGGGTCCTTCCACTCATCTGCTCTCTTGGACTGAGTGGTGGCAATTGCAGCTGCCTCCTTCTCCTTCTTTGGTGGCTCAGGCTGACGGCTGGAAAACAAGAGGATTTAACTAGCTGGGACTTTTTTTTCTTTTAATAGAGTAAAGCCAGCAGAAACACAGGCCAGGGAGAGGGTCTCAGAAATTCATCCTTCATACCAGTACTAGCTCCTCACCTCCCCTGCAGGGCATCCAGCATCATTTTGGGGGAGGATGCAGTGTTACAAGTACTTTCATTTTGTACATCACTCACTACAAGCCTATCAAAACCTGTAAATTTTGGCAACTCTTTGGTTGCACTGGCCAGGCAGTGAGTGCCCTGCCAGCTGACTTCAGCTCTGGCTTTTGGACTCGAAGGAACAGACACAAGTGCATGTAAGAGGGAATGGGAAAGGTGATTCTTCCTCCACTAGAGCTGGAGCAACCGAGACCTGGTAGGCAGCCCCCAGTGCAATGAAAATACTAAAGAGAGCAAGATTAAGGACAGGCTTGGAGGATGTCTCAATCCAGCAAACTGCTGGAAACAGCCAGAGAAGAGATCCAGCCTCAATTACCCCCCTGGTTTCCTTATCAGAACAACACGTGGGACTGTGTCACAAGCCTTCCATCTGTTTTTACCCTCACAAAGGGGACAGTTACCTCATCAGCTGAGCACAAAGCAGTTTGTAATGGCTGTTTTATCACCGTATTATTATAAGCACTAGGTGCTTAAACACCATCAAACATGCTCTCCTGTTGTTGATAACCATGGAGATGTGAGTCAGGCTAGACACTCTCAATCCCCTCCCTCTTACTTGGGTTTCCCCTTTTTCGTTGGTTCATTGGGTGTCCCTTCTCCTCTACAACCCTCTGAAATTAATTCAGGGTTAACTTTTCAGTGTCTGCACCAGACAGCTCCTGAAGTGCTCCAGGATGAGTTTCTTCAGGCCTAGACTTTATTACCTCTCTTATCTAAGGGTGATTTAACTTGGGATTATTCCTTGCCCTTACTCTAACCTGCACATGACTGTTCAACCACCTGTTTCTAACCTTCTCCCTCAGGTTTTAGGCAAAGCTTGTGCTTGTTACAAGGTTTATGAAGTCTGTGGCACTCGAGTTACCAGCTCAATGATGAGCTTATTCCTTTCTCAAAATAATAAGCCCTCTCACTCTCAGAATTTGGGGGAGGAAAGGCACCTTCCACCGCTGGGTTCAGCCTGTACCACCCCATTAGTCACACGAGAAGCAACCACTCCCCATCCAACTGCCTCTACCTTTTGAGATAAAAAAGAGCAACCTCCAAGTTTTCTAATAATTCTACAGACTCTGCTTCTTGCCCCAACACTTTTTCGACAGACAACAGGATGATGAAAGCTCTTCATTAGCAGCCTGTTCTGCCCTTTGAAGGCTCCACTAGTCACTAAGAAGTCTCACCTCCTCCTTGCTTGGCAGTATTAAAACACAGACTCAACACAGTTCAAACTCCCACGGCTTCTCATCTCTTCCCTGACTCCAGAACTTGTACACGTTGACTTTAAAACCCAGTGCAGCATCCTGCTCTTGCCCTGTCTTAGCTGATAGAACTACAGTCATTTGTCCCACGCCTGTCTTTGTATATAGAGAATTTTATGGAAGGAGAAACTCTCCCTTCATGTCCACCTCTCCCACAAATCTCATTTTAGCTTCAGAAGAGGATGCTGACGTATAAGCACACACAACTGCTGACTGCCTAGGAAACAGAGTCCTGAGCAGGGTTATGGCTCAGCATTATTCACCAGCATCTTCAGTTAGCATCATCACCCTTTCCAGCTCTGCTCCAACATACACTGCTTAACACCCCACACGGTGTTTGCAGTGGGTTGGTCTAGTTTTCCATGTTGTAGCCACAACTGTATCCAAGTATCTAATCACAGAGGAAGACATGACTGTGAATACAGGGTTGAGACAGATTGGACCTGTTATTTGTACTCTGATAACACTAAAGAGTCATAGCCAGGGTCAAGCTCTCCTTCCAGCAGATGTGGGGCAAACTCATTTTAAAACCATCTTAACCTCTGGCCTTATCTTCAAAGCAACTAAGTGCAAAGCAGGAAGAAAAAGAAGGTCGAGTGCAGCCTACACACCTTGCATCAGGCAGTGGCAGAGAGGAGGAGGACACCACCATGTGAGGATGCTCGTGAATAATGCTAGACCACGTCCCTGTGATGTCCCTTCCTGAGGGATGGCAGTCTGAATGCTTTGGGAGATGCAGGCAAATATTCAGGTGGGCAGAGAGGCAGTGTCCATGTCAAGACCTGGATAAAGCCTGCTGAGATGCTTTTCACTGCAGCGTCCATGATGGCAAATGTGAAGTAACTCACGAACAATCTTACCATTCTCCAGGCTCAGCTCCCTCCTGCAAGATTTTTAGAAGGAAAAGTCTCCTACAAAATTTATTCCCCATCTCTTAGAAAAAAACCAACAACTTGCCCACATCCACATCCAGGAGGAGCTGAATGGAAGCTGAACCTCAGCTCCCAGTCCACATGGGAACAACTCAGGCTGGACTCAACAGCTTGGGCGCGAGCTTGGAGCAAAGATGACTATGAAAGCAAATCTCATTACTTGCACCTATTACCTGGTTTGATGCAATTCTCTCTTGATGAAGTCACTTTCTGGAGGAAAGGTTTTTCTCCCCAGGAAAACCACAACTGAAAGCCTCATTTCTGGATATGCTTTGGCTTTTTGACTCAGCAGTGAACACATCACCACACTATGGCCATGAGACAGACGATGCGTGTGTCGGGACATTTTCAAAGCCTTTCCTCAAGAGTTGCCTGTGTGCCCAACATGTAGCATCACCAAATAAACTTGTTCAGCTTAATACAGGGGACTAGCATCTGGTGCCACTTGGCTCATCTCTTCCAGTGGAATTCAGGAGTCAAAATTGAAAGTAAGCCTGAGCAATTGGCAAGATCCTCACCACCCTCTTCCGACTGACATCTCAATTACACCCGCTATGATTTTAACCGAAGACACTGTTTGAGGTCGGCAGCCCACAAATTGATGCTTCAATCAAACTGACTCCTGCGTATGGACACTGTGCAGTCACTGGGATAAGAGCAGAGGAAGCCATAAGGCTTGCAGAGAAAAGCCTGCTGAGAAGAGGCAGCTGGGCTGTGGCTCCCAGCCAGAGCAGGCAGAAAGGCTGCCCAGAGCCACGCTGAACACGACAGCAGCTCCTGGTGCTGCACTGTGGGGCGGGCTGAGCAACGTATCCAACCCTGAGGAGGATCAGCTTCTCTCCTCATTTTCACTCTTACGACTGGGTCATTTCCCCTTCCTGCTTTGTGCTGGATCTGGTGCTTCTTGGAGCTCTTTGGGTGCCAACGTGATGCCTTCATTCAACAGGGAGAAGGGGGGAAAAATAAAATAGAAGCAGTTTCCTGCTGCATCAGCAGGTCCAACCAGCCTATGGCAGGGTTTGAACAACTGCAGGAGTGAAGAGAGAAGGGGAGCAGCCTGGCTGCTTTGGGGTGGCTGAGCCACCCGCTCAGCTCACAGCACTTCATACAAGGTCCTCCTCAGCCCAGCACAGTTTCCCAGGCTGGTGCAGTCCACCCTGCAATCAAATCTTTGAGAATTGACTCCCAAACTAGGTAAGCCAAAAGGTTAAAAGAAAAATGACCAAGGGGGTAAAAGAGACTGACAGGACAGACTGATCAAAAGCAGCTTAATGTCCCTGCGGAGCCCCAAGGAGCAGCATCCTGCATCACCAAGGCACAATCAAGGTCTGCAGAGCTTCGTTATTTCTGAAGCCCATTTTAACCTTCAAATAACTAAATGCTTTATTTTCCAGAACGACCACGTTCATGTAAATTTGGCTGGAATTTAATTACAGCAATCAAGCGGAGAACTGAAGCTGAACATGGCTTTGGCAATGAGAGGAGGAACAAAGGCAGCTCCAGCTGGCAAAGCAAACCACAGAGCAGGTCGGCCAGCTCCCCACTGCTCCGGCTCCCAAAGACACTCGGTTGGAAGCACAGCACAGAATTCAACAGGAATTTGGAGAAGGAAAAGCAGAGCTGCACGGCTCAAGTTTTTCTCCTCGTGTATTATGGAAAAAGATGCTGAAGCATTTTTGATCTGCGAGGGGAAAATGAGGCTGCTCAAAAGTGCTTCCTTCCCTCCCCTCTCCCGTGGGACGCGGCTCCCATGGGCAATGCAAACCTTATCACCCATGGTCACTGGTGACATCAACCTGGCTTCAGGGCTACTGTTTTGGCCAGCAGCTCCAACTCAATCTGCTGAAGGAGGAAAGTCCACTGAAGATTGAGAAGCCTGGTCGTTCCTTGCAGGAAAGTGGGTGTTGCATCAGCAGCCCTGGCACCAGTTCTCCTTTGGTGTCAGTGGAATTTTCCAGAGGAAGTGGTCTCGAGGAACAACTGGAGCCATGTGCCAAGGCAGCTGGGAAGGGACCTGCAATGGCTACAAAATCACCTCCAGCAGCATGCATGCACACTGGAAGGTTTTTTCCCATCTCAGCAAGATAAAGTCACTTGAGTGGCTGGCAAGGGACAACAGCTGCCAAAAGCCACCTCCATACAGCTAGGACAGAAATGCTGACCCTTTCAGCCAGTGCTAATTGATCTTGGTGAAATATTAGCAAAGGTTCAGCTCTTCTCAATACATTTTGATCTAAAGCAGAGTTATCAGCTGCTCAAGGAAAAAAAAAAGGGAAAAAAAAAAAGACAAGACCTTCTTCAAAGCCTGATGGGGAGAGGCTTTGAAATTAAACAGAGGAGATACAATCTGAACCTGCAGTATGAAATCATCACAGCAGGTAGATAAACATATCTGAGATGTGATCTACCCTAAAGGCTGAGCATTTGATGCCTTGAGAGCCTTCTCTAAATGAGAGGGACCCATGTGCAGTGTTCTGCCCCAGTCTTTGCAATGCTTTAATAAAAGCCAGTGTGGGAGATCCCTCCAGTCATTCCGAGTCTGAAATGCCAAAGAAAAATGCATTCCTGGAGATCCACATCTGAGTCACTCACTGCCCTTCTTCATCTTGATTTATGGTTACGAAACCT